CCCCGCAAGGAGAAGCGCCGCACCGCGGCCAGCCAGGGCCTAAGATCCGTTGGGAACCGTATCCTCTTCCATTTCCTCCTCGGCGTCCTCCGACGGGCCTGGAAGGACACGGCACAGGGTTAGGGTGGTTGCTGCAAACGTCCCTTTGCTTTTCCACAGGGTAAGGATAGTGATTTCCACCCCCAGAGAGGGGCAGTAATAACATAAACCCTCAAAACCAGCCCAGAAAGCAGAATCTACACAGCACTAACAGAAACACAGCTTTAATCTGTGGTTAAGATTTGTCCGTGCAGACACCTCCGAGACACTCTCCTGTACCCTCACCTGAGGCACTAACGCTCATTCCAGACAGACTCCATAATTAATCTTGGGTTTTAAATCCCTGGGATGAACTGCTGGGATTTAGCCAATACAGGGCTGATGGTCAACACCTTGCTCTCAAGGAGTCCAGGTGACAGCCCTGAGCTGCACTCAAGAGGCCAGATGTATTATGCCTCTTAGAGCCCAATGAATGTGGTCCACAGTCATTCTGATAAACTTACACTCAGTTTAAACAGTTCTTCCTTGACTGTTTGGCCCTTCCAACATAACTCTCTACTAAGCTCACATAAAGCATGAGGAAGTAACAAACAGAGGCAATACTCTGTCTGGGAAACAGTAATGAAAGTATAAAGTGACCTGATTTTCGCTCTCTGCCAGGAATCTGACCAGCCTGTAGCATGCCCTTCAGCCGCTCCACTTCAGCCAAAGTCGTGGCATTTGCTATAGCAGTCTGAAAAACAGACAAAAGAACACAATGCATCTTCACACACAGTGTCAGTCCGTTTAGAAGAAACCTAAGAACAACCTTTTTTCCCAGTGAAGTGATGCTGAACTTCTGTAGGAAGTCCTACAAAGTTTTAGCTCTAGAAAATCCTGCAAATGACAAAGAACAATCTTCACTCCACCCTTATTAAATAAGCTGCTTTCTCCTGGGAGAACTCTAAGCTCAAAGCAACATTTCAAGTCTCAAAAAAACCCAGGTATATCCTAACAGAAGAAAAATGACAGAAAAACGACCTAAACCAAAGTTAGGCCACACTGCTCCATTCATGTGAACAGAGGCAGGAATTTCCAGGAGGAAACCTCTGTTCCATTTGGATCCGCAGCAGTTTTTCTCCTCCACTTCTGCCTGCATGTGCTGTCCTGACAGATTTACCTTAATTGCCTCGACATCCCCTGGGGAGGGCCCAGCTTTCTTTTTGTCAATTTGCAGACCAGCACCTGGGGTGAAGCTGCAAAGGAAAAATAAAGACCTGTTACACCTTTTGAAGGGCACCTGCTTCTCTAACTTCCAAACTAGGTTTGGAAGCTTTTCATTCAATCAAGTGTAGTATCTTATCTTTGTTAACAAACTGATACAGTGAAGAATCGCCTCCTTCAGAAACACCAGCAGCTTGTCCTCACTGTCCCATTCCCCACCCCCCCCAACCTTTTAATCTGCTCTTAAAGAGAGGCAGGCCTTAACTTTAGAAATCAAGCAGTTGACAAAAGCTGTTTGATTTGGATGTTGTTGAACACTCAGGTGGGCTGTTGCATTACAAAAGCAGGGTGGGTAACTAAAGAGTAACTGAAACTGGGTTTCTTGTTCTCATATGTCTAATACATTACACCAGCCTAATATTAAACACTACACTAGATGTCACCTTAACACTCAAAAAGAAAAACCTGTAATATGCAAAAATGGATGTTACTGACTGATCAGCTGGAAGGAACTCCTGAAGTGCTGACCCAGCCCAAGCTGCAGCTTCTTTTGCAGCTATAGAAAGATTTTCTTTTATGCTTATTGAGCTATTTATTTCAATCATATACTTGTTCTAAAACTATCCCAGACCAGAACTCATAAACAAGAGCTTGAGCTTGAGATTTAGCATTCAAGATATTTTTAATACATTCAAGATACTTTTTAATTTAACTATGGATTTGGAAATGCTGTTGCCATACGTGATCAAGATTCTGATTTCCAAATAGGTAGAGGAAAGATTAAACAAAACATATGTTGTACCATTTAAGAATTAAACTGATTAAACATGTATTTGTAATAGTTTAACTGGAGATTTTCATCTGCATTTACCCTCCTGACTACAGCAGACTTCACAGTTTGTATTCCCTGGCAAAAGATTAAGAAATGAGCTACCCATCACCTAGGGAAAAAAAAAACAACTAAAGAAACAATGGCCACTTCTCTGCAGATAAATAACAAAAGGAAAAAATTAACATTTCCTGCTTGTTGACTTACACCAACCCACCCTGACCAAATACATCTTTCAGACATACTTCTGAGATGTATTCACCACCATCCAAAACTTGGGATGCTTGGACAAGGCACTTCTGGCGAGCAAAAGCTTTTGAGGCATCCTGCCAGCAGCTGGTGTTTCAGTTTAGTGCCTCACACCACACACAGAACGTGGTGTTTCTGAAGGAGGATGCCAGTGTAAATTGGTTTTTTTATCTTACGTTTTTGCTCTCCTGGCAATATCCTTTGCAAGCTGTGCACCCCGTTTGCCCTTGAACATTTTCTCTGCCTCCTGTCGCTCCTACAGCGATACCACACACACAAAGTTAATTTAAGAACATTGCAGTTTGCACAGCTTCTGTCTTTGCAAAGAAAGACTCTTTGGCTTATCTTCATCAGTCAACATTGGTACGTGGAGACCAGATGGAAGAACAAGCACATAAACATTGCCCAAACACTCAGACTTGAGACATATCAGCTTAGTAAGAACTCTT